GTAAAAATGGAGATGAGTGTGCGTACCACCATCCCATTTCCCCTTGCAAAGCCTTCCCCCATTGTAAGTTTGCTGAAAAATGTTTGTTTGTTCATCCAAATTGTAAATATGATGTGAAGTGCACTAACCTAGACTGCCCCTTCATTCATACCAACAGAAGAATTCCAGTACTGCCTCCAAAGCCAGTTACAGCACCAGCATCTCCTACCAGTCAGCTCTGCCATTATTTCCCAGCTTGTAAGAAAATGGGATGTCCCTTTTATCATCCCAAACACTGTAGATTTAACACTCACTGTACTGCGCATTTTATCATCCCACCATTACTGTACCACCGAGACATGCCTTGAAATGGATCAGACCTCAAACCAGCAAATGATAGCCAGCCCTACTTGGCAGAAGATCATGCAGTTTGAAAGGTTCTTCCTACCGATGAAAGAAAATATACAGAACTTGTCAAATCTTTGAAACTTGGAATACAGTGCTTTCATAATATGAAAAAATTTCATATTATCTTGTTTTGAAATTCTGTATATTGCTTTTATTGGTTTTTTTCTCTTGAAAATACAAAAGTTTTAAAAAATGAAGTATGGAGAAGCTGGACTACAAATGAGAAAACCTATTTAAAGTCTGATGAAAGTCTTCAGTTTCTTCTTCTAATGATGATTTATTCTACAAAAGGAAGGATCTAGAGAAGATCTAACCCGAGAATTGCAGCAGACAGCAGGGACAGGCTACATCGAGAAGCAAAGGCTCAAATGGAAGTCTACAGCCAGAACAGGAGCTGCCGGCTGCCCTTGGCTCTCTGACCTCCAAGAGACTGGCAGTTTACAGGTATGTTCCTCTCGCAATGACCCTCTCAAGCTAAAAAGGGGAGAATTTTCTTATCTCTGAGAACTAGACCCAGAAAGCAGATTCCTGAACACAGATACTTGCAGTTTTCCCACAAGCAGCTGGACCCAAGTCTAACCAGGAAACAAGTGACAGGCTTTTCCTCTTCCCTGAAAATGCAACTAGTCACCTCCAATATAACAACCACAAAAACACAAGTGACCCTTCATCAAGAAAAACAAAAATGGGGCTGGGGAGATAGCAAGGAGGTCTAAGTACCTGCCTGGCAAGTATAAGAACCTGAGTTTGAGCCTGGGTGCCACATGCCAAGCTGCATAGTGAGACCCTGTACCAAATAAATAAAAGAAAAAAGAAAAACAAAAGCTAAGGCCAACTATTAAATGAAACTTAAAAGAAATGAAAACAGTGAAGATAGGAGAAAATTTTAAATATGTATAATTTGTATCTTTATAGAGGTTTTAAAAAAAATCCATGGCAAAATAACTGGATGTCATGTTGTCAAAGAACAGAAAACAAATTAAAACACTTAAAATTTTTAAATATAATACTTGAAATAAAAGATTCATAGGAACAATTTCAGTAGAAAGTTTGAAATGTAAAGTGAAGAGACTTTCAGAAAATGGAAGAAAAGGGCCAGGGGGATGGCTCAGTGGAATAAGCACTTCCCTGGAAAAAAAAAAAAAAAAATGGAAGAAAAGACAAAGACAAAACAATAGAAAAGAAGGGGAGGGATGGCCAAATATCTCAGCAGATTAAAGCGTGTGCTTAAGCAGATGCAGGGGCGGGAGTTTGAACTCTGGGCCTGCTGTGCCAGTCCCACTCCTATAGCTCCCTGAGACGGGATTGAGACTGGGTATGATAGCACGCACCTGTAATCCCAGCACTTGGAGGCTGCAAACAGGAGGATCACTACGAGTCCAATCTACACAGCAAGACCCTGTAGACTCTGAAGACCCTGTCCTAAATAGAAAAGAAAAGAAAACAAAAAGAAGAAGAAGAAGAAGAAGAAGAAGAAGAAGAAGAAGAAGAAGAAGAAGAAGAAGAAGAA